AAAAAAAAAAAAATCACACACAAAATATAAAAAGGTTCTCAGTCAAGTGTGGGAGATAGACCTGAAAATTAAGTTACACAGAGCAATCAGGGCAACAGAGGAAGGGTTGGCAGAATTCAGAAGCAGATCAGAGAAGGGAGGGCCTTGTGGAAGAGGCGTCTAAGCTGCTTTCAGAGGATGAGCGGAAATGTCCCTACTGATGGCATGAAGGGAACTGCAGGCAGAAAGAAGGGGTAGAAGGCCTGTGGCCCTGAACTTCAAAATGGCGGGAGCTAAGCATGAGGTACGAGTTCAGCTGTGATCTGAGTTCTGACTTCCTCAGAACAGCGAGGCATTGTTGAGATCCAGATTGCTTCACATATTTTCCTGGTAAAGCTGTTTCAAGGCTATCTCTTCAGGTACGGAGAGGAAAAGAAAAAGATAATTGGGTAATAAAGATGTCTCAAGGCTAGTAACCTAATTGGAACTGGAAAAAGATTAGCACTTGATTCTCAGACTTACTCACATGGCTGCCAACAACAAAGCTGCCAAAACCAAGATAGTATCTCTGACGAGTTTTGACTGGTCAGCATCTGTAACCTATAGCGGGTTGAGTAAATTGAATCTTACACATTGGAAGGGACGCTCACCCTCTATTCCAAGATCCATAGCGTTTTGCATTGGACCAAACATATCTCATTAGTCAATAGTTTTCAGTTTTAAAATTCATTTCTCTTCCACAAGAGGATCCAAACAGCACTGCAGAATTTGGGTGGACCATATGCATGCATGTCACTAGCTTTTGCGTTGTCTCCGGGTAGTCAACAGTTCAGTGAAACTGTTACCAGTTGCTCTCCATGTGATCCTGGACAGATTACCATGCACCTTCTTGGTAAAGCATCACATGTACCTTATCCTGAGTTATGGTATTAACTGAGTTATGTCTATAAAGATACCTAAGACAGGGGCTTAGGGGCTCAGTGGTTAAGGGCACTAGGTGCTCTTGCAGAGGACCTGGGTTCAGTTCCTAGCACCCATATGGTGGCTAACAACCATCAGTAACTCCAGTTCCAGGGGATCTGACATCCTCTTCTGACCTCTGCAGACATTGCATGACATGGGCACACTTACATACATTCAGGCAATACACTCATACACATAAAATAAAAAGAATAAAATATTTAAAAAATACTTAGGATTGTGCTTGCCACACAGAATGGTAACTGCCGTTACTATTATTATTGTTATTATTATTATTGTTTTTATATTTTATCTACAAAATTCATGTTTCTGGAGAATCTGAACTTTTGGAGGCCAAGACAGGTTTACTGAAAGTGAATTCTACATGATTCTAGGACCCCTCGAGCCCCTCTTTTGGTTGAGAGGAGTCCTGGGTGTTTGTTCTCTAGCAGAGCCTTGGCCCTATGGCTCTGTTTAAGGTCTAATGAGACATCCCATCTTTAGGCTGGGACAAATAGCTAAGGTAATCAGTAACACTGTGGGAGGAGATTCATGCAGGAGGTTGCAAACTTGTTTCTTGGCTTCACAGAAACTGTCATCAATTCTGTGGCCCTCACTGCACTGGAGTGGGGAGCAGGGGAGGCTCAAAACTCATGCCAGTTCATGAACCTGGAGTCTGTTGGCTAAGTGAGGATGAAGAACAGGCAGAAAAAAATGTTGCAGGTTTTGCACGTTTCACGTGTCCCTTGAACATTTTGCAGAACGAAATGCTGGAGAGGATGTTAGATTTGAGGGTTGAGGGGTTTTGTGTTCAAGTCCAGCTCTTGCCTTTGGCTCACTCTGATCCCAACAAGCCCTTTCTGTATCCTGTCTGTGAGTGGAAGGAGGGAAGATCTTGTTTACACTGACATCCTATTCTCTCTGAGGCGACAGCCTGGTCCCCTATCAAAATACCTCAGGAAGGAAGCAAAAGGCCCTGTCTTGACAGCTTCAGCCACAGGACATTCAAATGCCTCAATTTAGAATCTAGAGGAAAGCTGTCAGCAAACATAGCTAAGAAAGATTTCATGCTAGGTGTTTCTGTGAGCGGCCTAGACAAGCTTGTGATCTCATATGCAACTAGTTGTATGCCCATTCTGGACTAAGGAACAAACTGGCTCTAGGAATAATTGGGGAAGGGAGCCCCCAAGAGAAAGGCTGCAGGGTGCTTCTGAGTGTGGAGCCCTGGTGCAGGGTGGATGTGGGGGTAATTGCATGTCTCAGGTATGCTGGGAGACATGGGGCCAGAGGTCGATGAGGAAAGCAGCCAGGAGGATAGTTATCTCCTAATTACTGCTTGCACTGGAATGTTTTATTCCATTTAGAAAATGATCTGATTGTTTTGACTTTTTTTCACGCTGTAGGGAAACAGCCAGGTGGGGCTGATCCAAGCTGTGTGGGTGGTGTTCTCTAATTACTGGGCTGGACTTTCTTTTGCCAATTAGGTGGCTTCTTTAGACCTGCCCTTTTCTAACTTGATTACTACATGGGGCAACTTACTTTTTGTATAAACTCTTTCATACCCAGTGGAGCTGCTTTCAACATGTAGATTCCATCTTGGCACATTCAGGTGCTTTCAAAAGCCTGCACTCACACTGACATCAAAATCAGATACTGACTTACCAGAAAAAGAATACAGGAGTGTCTTCCCCCAGAGTTGATTTCTGTCGTTGTCTATACCCTGTTGAAGGTCGCCTCTCATCTCTATGTGAGCTGTATGGATGGATTTAAATAAATCAAGAGGAATCCCAGCTGAAAAGATGTATTCACTGAGAAGAATACATGGTTTTTCCAGCACCTATACACAAAAATTAACCACAAACAAATCACAGATGCAAATGTAAGATTTAAAATGATAAAAGTCTTAGAAGAAAACATGAGTAAATATTTGTGACCTGAAATTAAACCAATTTTTCCTACATATGACATAAAAAGCATTAATAACAGAAGAAAAATTAAATTAGATTTAATGAAAATTTAAAATTTTTGTGCCACGAAAGATACCATCAAAAAGTGAAAAGAAAAAAAGGTGTGTTGAGGGGGTACAGCCCTCAGAATGGGAGCAAATATTTGCAAATGTTTTATCTGATAAGGGATATATATAGAGAATATTTAAAGGACTCTTACAACTTATTCATAGTAGACAATTTGGATAGTGAAAAAGACATACAAATGGTCAATAAGCTCATGAAAAGATGCTTAAAATGGTTACCATCAGGGAATACAAATCAAAAGCATAATAAGACCACACTTTGTACTTGCTGGATAGCTATAATCAAGAAGGCATAATAACAAGTGTTGGTGAGGGAGTGGAGAATGGGAATCCATACATATTGTTGGTTGGATGTGTAGTGGTGCAGCTGCTTTGAAAGGAGTCCTCAGAAAGTTAATCACAGAGTTGTAGTATGATGCAGCAATTCCACCTGGGCATATACAGGAAAGAGGTGAAAGTGGGGTCTTGGAGAGATATTTGCATACTTTTTCATGACAGCATTATTCACAAGAGCTGACAAGGGGGAAGTAACCTGAGTTCACCAGTTGGTGAATGAGTAAGCAAACTGTGGTATAGACATTAAATGGAATGTTATTTCGATGCATACTACAACATAGGTGAATCTTGAGACCACCATTCCAAGTAAAGGAAGCCAGTCTCCAGAGTACGCATATTATGATTCTGATAGGAAATGTCCAGAATAGGCACAGCCATAGAGAAAAAATGAAGACTGGTGATTACCTGGGCCTGAGGGCAAGGAGGGTGGGGGAAATGGGAAATGACTGCTGATACCAGTGAGGCTTCTATTAGGGATGATGAAATTATTTAAACTTTACATTGTAACAATAATTGCCCAGCTTGGCAGTTATGATAAAATTGTTGAATTGGGCAGTTTAAATGTGTGAAACAACCACGTGAGTTATATCTCAAAGCTGTTTTTAAAAGAACTTAAGGTTTGATGAGTTACTGCACTCATTCTTTTTAAAAAAATTTTTATTTATTGTTTTTATGTGTATGTTATGCCTGCATGTAGGTAAGTGCACCAGTGTTGTGCAGTGCCCACAGAGGATAGAGAAGCTGTTGGATCCCCTGGAACTGGAGTTACAGACAGTTGTTAGCTGCCATGTGAATGCTAGGATTTGAACCCAGATCTTCTGCAAGAACAGTCAGTGTTCTTCACTTGATCTTAGCCAAAAGGCCGAGAAGTGATGCAGTCAGTGTTCTTAACCTCTGAGCCATCTCTCCAGCCCCTGCACTCATTCTTTTAAAAAATATTTTATTTATTTTTATTTTTATTTTATGTGTATGTATGTATTGCCTACATGCATGTAAGTCCAGAGATCAGAAGAGGGCATCAAATTCCCCTGGAATTGGAGTTAAGGATGGCTGTTTGTTGCCAGTGGGTGCTGGAAATCAAACCCAGGTTCTCTATAAGAGCATCCAGTGCTCTTAACCTCTGAACCACCTCTCCAACCCCTGTACTCATTCTTGAAGCCTAAGAAGGCCCTCTTCTGGCCTTGAAGGAGAGATAAACAGTTAATAAAGCTGTAGTAACTACATAGAAAGTTCACGGCAGCCAGATATTCATAGGAGAGATTTGCCTTCAAGGAGCTTCTGCGCAAAATGGCATTAAGATGGCATTAGCTTAGGTACTGTAGTCTGATTAGAAAACCCCCAACCCCAAGTATTGCTATTGGGAGGATGATGGAAGCTTTAAGAGGTGGAACCTACAAACCAGAAATAATCCCAGCATAGACAAGTGGTAAGAAGCTCCAACCTCATCTAAGGAAATTGTGTCAACAGATGGCAGCTGGGAGGAGCAGAGTCAGTTTCTTTCAAGGATGGGACTTTTGGTAGGTTAACCAGGCTCCAGTGGAAGGATATTTGGACACAAATTAAACTCTACAGACCTTATTATATGTATATAATAGAGTAAATTGGGGGGGGCAATAAGGGGAGGCACAGATGGGGAAGGAGATCTAAATACCATCAAATTATACTGTATGAAAATTGCAAAAATTCAGAGGTAGAGCCTAGTGGAAGGAAGTTGGGCCATTGGGAGGTATCCTTGGCGGGGTACTGGGACCCAGGCCCCTATCTGTTTCTCTTCGCTTTCTGACCACATGAGAGCAGCAGCTTCACCACTTTCTCCCACCATGACGTGTGACACAGGCCCCAAGGCAGCGAGCCAACTGTGGACTGAAGCACTGAAACTATGAGGGAAACAAACCTTTTCTTCTCGTAGGTTTAGTTACCTCGGGCATTGTATCCAAAGCTGACCAACGTAGAAAGTAGCAGAATTATCTCCCACCCCAAATCTCCAATCCAAGCCCTCCCAAAGTCTTTCCCACCAGCTACCCAGAAAACTACCTACACAGAACACAGTTTGGAGACAACAGGGGAAAGACATTCCAAAGTAAACTATGAATATTAAAAAAAGATCTCTGTCTGCCTCGTGGGGTTCTTGAACATAAGTATGGAGTAAGTATGTAAGCTTTAACATCAGTAAAGACCATGGGAGTATGAGTTCTTTTGCCTGCTTTGTGTGTGTGTGTGTGTGTGTGTGTGTGTGTGTGTGTATTATTTTTCAGGAGGATTTATTTTAATAGTAATGACTAGTTGATCAAATGCTTTTCAGAATCATCTCATTAATAAAAAATGAATTTTTCTTGGTATTTCTACAATTTATATACAAAGATTCTGATATCTATGTTTGTATATATTTAAATTTTTATTGAATTTTGTGAATTTCATGCACTATATTTTGATCATATTTAGACCCCCTCCTTTATCTGCACTTTATCTGCTCTAATAGTTCTAATAGTTCCCCCCTTGCTATAGTTCATGTACTCTGTTATATGTATTAAAGCCTATCGAGTTAAGTATGTGTCTCCAAATGTCCTTCAGTGTGGATCCATCCACTAGAGCCTGGTTAACCTATTTAGTATCACACCCTTAAAGAAAACTGACTCTCCTTTTCCTAGCAGTCATTGGTTGCTAGTAATTCCTCAGCTAAAGTTGGGGTTTTTACCCACTTCCCCATTTCTATACTGAGATTTTGTCTGGCTTGAACTTGTGTGGATCTTGTGCATGCTGTTACCACTGTGAGCTCATATGAGTAACTTCCCAGTTGTCTGGAAAACTGTTTCTTTGTGGTCATTTAACTTCTCTGGGTCTTACAATCGTTCCACCCCCTCTTCCATAATGGTCCCCAAGCCTTGAGTGGCAGAGATTTGATATAGAAGCCTTATTTAGGGATAAGTACTCCTCAGATTCTTATTCTCTGCACTTCGGCCAGTTGTGTCTTTCGGGGTTAATCACCATCTGTTGCATGAGGAAACTTTGCAGGTGAGAGTTGAGAGACACATTGCTATTTTTTCTATCCCTGGTTCCTCTGTGTTCCCTGAGCCTTAGGTTTTTTTTTTTTTTTTTTTATTCTGTGAGATTTCATACATGTATAGAATGCGTTTTGGTTATATCTTCCCCCTATTCCCAAAATTTTATTTTGGTTTGTTTTTTGAGACAGGGTCTCATGTAGCTCAGGCTGGCCCTGAATCTGTTATGTAGCCAAAGATGATCTTGCACTCCTGATCATCCCACCTCTACCTCCCAAGTGCTGGTATTATAGTCATGTGCTACCATGCCAAGTTTTATATCTTTTATCCACTTTCTGGAAATGTTTATTAAGAGAGGTTAGTTCATTTTATAAAAATTGTCAAAAGCCTTCTATGTGCATGGAACTAGCGAGAGAGGAAGGCACATTAAGTATGTAATGATAGCATTTTGTGAAAGTTCTCATAGGGTACAGGGGGGAAAGAGTTTGATTGACTTGGAGAAACAGGGAAGGCAGGCTTCCAAGAGATGTCACACAGAGAGAGGCTGCTCTGAGCAGAGGAAAGTTCTAGTCTCTCATATACACAACAGGTCACTCCCATTCACCTTCACTCTGTGATAGAAGGTGTTTCTGACCCTATTTTACAATTGGGAAATTGAGGCTCAAATTCTTTAAAGGGCTTTCCCAAAGACAAAGCTGGTAAGTGGCAGAGATGAAATTTAGCCTAGTTTTCCTACCTTTGTGATTATGGCCTATTACTTTCAACAGTACAGGAAAATATGTTTTATAACCCTTCCTGATAACAGAAATAGTTATGAATGATCCTTGTTGAAAAATTCAGAAAATTAATTAACACAATACAAAAGATGAAAATCATCCCTGATCTTGGTGCTATAAACTAGGTGGTATATAGTTGTTTAGCTTTCAAGTTGGACTATGCTAATAACCTGTTTTTCATAAAATATAGTCATAATATTTTCCATGTAAATACTCACCTATATAACAATTGCTATGGCAATCAATAATCTTTCTCTTTGGAATTTACTGTAATTATCTGACCAATTACACTGCTGAACTTTTAGGGTACCCCTCTAACTTTTGGTGTTATAAACAATGTTGAGATGAGTATTTTTTGCAGATCAATCTTTGTTCTAATCCTAGGTGAGTTTTGAGAATTTACCCTAAGGGTTTTCTTTTTAAAGAGTGTTCAAATTTTAAAGCTTTTTACTTGTGTTGAAAAGGTGATTCCAGTTAGATTTTTCACACTAGTATGTTCCACTTACAGCTTGTTACAGACACTGCCTTCTAGTCTGTCAGTCTGCTAGTTATCACATTTGCCTTTACTTTTCATTTATGTCCTTACCAAAGGCAGTGATATTTTTGTGTTTATGATCAGACTATTAAATGCTAAAGCATGTGATGCTGACTAAAAGTGTATTGGACATGGATGAAGCAGACTAGAGGGATAGCTTGAAAATACATTTGGCCAAACCCTGTAACTTTGCTGCCTCGAGGGAAGGCTACATATAGATGCTGTGTGAGGGTATATTGGGGAGTAAAAGAATGCAGGAGGAAGAATTGATTGAATTCAATAGCTTCTTTTCCCCCCACATAGGTACTTAAAGGTGGACAGGAAGCACCCACAAAACCCAAGGGGCGTCCCAAGAAGAACTCTATCCCTACATCGGAGGAGATTGAAGCTGAAGAGAAGATGAACAGCCAGGCCCAGAGCCAGGGACACCTGGAGTCCTCTCAGGGACACAGGGAGCCCTGTGATGCCCAGGAACCAAAAGGATGTGATGTCCCCTTGGAGGTGGCAGAGGCATCATGCCAACCCCAGGAGTTGCCAGAAGCTTCTTCCGAACCCCCACTATTAAGCTAAAATAAAGTTCTTTGGGGGAAAGGGGCTTGGGAAGAAGGGAAAAAAGAGAAGGCAAGGGGACTCAGGAGAGAGAACCTCTTAACAGCCTGGCGAAGGGAGCAGAGGAGGTTTAATTCTCTCCCTCCTCTTAGTGGCAGTTTCATCAGGAACATCTGGTGAAGACCCGATTGCCTTAGGCCTTCCCCTTCTTGCAAGGCTGTGTTAGCCGCAGATAACCCTTGAGTAAGGGAGGTGGGGCCTTAGAGCTGCCTTCCGGCTGGGTGATGACTGTGGGGCTAGGTACAGCAACCTGCTGGTGTGGCAAGTGGGTCTGGCCTGCAGAAGAGGGCTGCTCTTCCTCCTCCTTGAAACCCTCTGGGGCAGCCAGTCAGCAAGCAGAGAGAGGTGGAGGTGCTTGGGTGGCCTGCCCAGGCTCCTTGCTAACTCAGCACTTATTTCTGTAGTTTTAAAAGAGAATTTAATGTTTGTGGTTTTTTTGGGGGGAGGGTGGGACTGTTAAGGGCAGGCGAAAAGGGAGTTGGAGGCAGTTGTGAGTTACTAGGAATGTCTCTAAGTCCTGCTTGTTTGTTTGGAGACATGTGTGCCTTTGTACCCATTCTAAGATGGTCTGGTGACCAAGAACTGATAAGCTTTGTTTTTCTTGCTTCCTTGACTTGCCATCCTTGAAGCTGCAAATGCAGATGTTAAGATAACTTTTATTTTTTAATTAAAATTAAATCTTTCAAAAAGATTGTGTTGTTTCTTTGAGAGAGATGTCTTATGGAAAGAGAGATAGCCATGTTTCCTGGGCCTTCCTTTCCCCAGCTCTAAAACAAAAGGTTGGGCCAGACCTCTGGTGCTTAAGTACAGGAGCCACAGAAGTGATATTGGGATCCTGGGGTCAGGGAAACAAGAGGCTGGGCTGCTCACTGGACAGCTTCACGGCCAGCTGCTCTGCAGTTGAGGCTTCCAACTCTTTTTTTTTCAGTTTAAAAAATGAAGTGTGTGTGTGTGTGTGTGTGTGTGTGTGTGTGTGTGCACTCACGCTCATGTCACCGTGTATACATATGTGACAGTCAGAGGACAGCTTGTGGGAGTTAGTTGTCTCCTTCCACCATGTGGATGCCTGTGATTGAACTCAGCTCATTAGGCTGGAGGCAGGCACCTTTACCTTCTGACCCTCTTGTAGCCTGGCCCTGTTTTGCCTTTAGAAGAGCCAATAAAGGGCTATGCTTTAAAAGATCAAAACAATGTAAGGGAGTATTGCTTCTATCCCATCCCCTAAAAGTAATCATTTTTGTTGGTTTCTTATCTGACCTTTCAGCTTTTCTTTATCAAGTATCAAACTTTAAAATATTTTATTTGTTATTTTTATTTTATGCGTATGAGTGTATTGCCTGCATATATGTAAGTGCACCCATGTCATGCACTGCCTGCAGAGGTCAGAAGAGGGTGTCAGATCTGGACCTGGAGTTAGCCCCCATGTGGATGCTGAGAATCAAACCCAGGTCCTCTGCAAGAGTAGTCAGTGCTCTTAACCACTGAGCCTTTTCTCTAGCCCCAAGTATCCAACTTTTAACGAAAGTAGACTTACAAATGGCCGGTTTAGCTGTACTCAGTTACTTCGATATTAAAGTGATACCACAGAATGGGGATGGTGCCCAGTGGTTAAGTGCTTGGTTAGTATATACAAGGGCCTGGGCTCCACCCCAGCATCACAGAGAGACATGGAAGGCAGTAGCAATGCTCCGCTTTAAATAAGACCAGGAAAGAGGTGGGCACCAAATTTCCTAAAGGGAGGGTTCGTTTGACTCACATGCATGCTGGCTGTAGGTTTAATTTCTAGGGGCCACCTTTAGGGTTGTTTCCCTGTGATGCCTTTTAGGACATAATACCTAATTAGTGACTGACTGGCCAGTCATCAATTATAGTCACTCCACCAAGCTGTAGGCTTGCAGAATACCAGTAGGCTGTTAACAGAGGCCTCAACTTGGAGGCAGGCAGGTTACTAGTTCTGTGAAACCATCGTCTAACTCATTTCAGAGTCAAACAGGAAAGATCAGCCTGTGTGCAAGGCCCTGCCTGCCGTCTCTCCATGAACACAGAGAAAAAGTAGCTGCAGCTCTGACTCTGGCAAGGCAGCACCTTACCCCTTTTGCTGCTGAGATCAGCAGAGAAAGCATTCTTTCTCTCTACTCTTGTGAATAGACAAAGGAGTTAAGGACTTGACCTCTGAAAACCAGTTTGTGCAGACCACACCTAGCTGCCTGAGAGAGGTAGCTTGTACCAAGCATGCAGAAAGCTGTCTCCCTCACCTCCTGCCCACCCCATAGTACAGTTTTATGATCTGCCTACCAGGTGGTGTCACAACAAGCCAGAGGATCTACACAATGGCCAGAGAAAGATAGTGGCTCCGGGCCAGTTTTGTCTAGCTCCTAAGAACTGTTCTTTTTTCATCGTCCCAGCTAGGCCTTGCATTCAGATGCTGGTGTCCTGTGAGGGCTTTTGGTCTCTTGCCCTGGGCTCTCATGATGTCCTTCACTGTGGTCTCTGGCAGTGACTGTCACCTCATGGACCCATTTGAGTGCGCACACATGCTGATTTTCCCATGTGCTAGGTTCCAGACGCTTTTGGCTTGCAGCTCTTACTCCTTGGCCCATCCTCTTTGGTTTGTTTCTTGCCCCTGGGGGGTTGAAGACATTTCACTGGTGAATTTAAGACCTGGGATTATCTTTCCTTCTGTTGGGTAAGGCCCAGCCCAAGGTTACCTCCACTTACAAACTGTAGGCTTATCCTCCAGCCTCAGCTGTGCGTGGCTTTTCCTGGTGACTCAAAGATGGGCCAGATTGGACCTTTTTTTTTTTCTTTTACTTTTGTAATCAACTAATACAAATTTTACATACTTCTGTGTGCAATATAGAATGTTTACATTAGTCAAATTAGCACATGCATGATCTCACATATCATTTATTTATGGTGAGATCATATAAAATCTCTTATGTTTTAATTAGATAATACTCTATAATCTGTAATCACCATGTAGTACAATAGATCTCTTGAACTTATTTCTCCTAACCTAAATTTTGTAGCCTTCACCTGACATATCCTCAGACATCTCCATCCCCAACATCTGATAAACTACCTCAACTACTTCTATGATGCCATCTTTAGCTTCTATGTGCAAAGGAAGATTTGACTTCTGTGCCTGTTCCTTTTTTCTGCTTAACAGAATGACCTTTAGGTCCACCCATTTTGTCCCAAATAATAGAGTTTCTTTTCCTTTTGTGGCTGAATAGTATTCCACTGTGGGTATGTACCACAGTGTATTTTCTTTGTTGGATACTTAGATTGACAGATGTCCTGGACATTATAAATAGTACTGAGATGAACATGGGGGTGCAGCTATCTCTTTGACAGTTATTATGTTTACAATTGATTTAATACAGTTATACAATATTGTACTCCATATAAAACCTATAAGACATAAAATTATATGAGGTTTTAAACTTAAAAAAGATCTCCATTTCATTATTAAAATACACAGTTTCATAAGAAAAATTCATTTTTAATACAATTGACACTAAGATGTCTTTCCTTTTTTAAATACTTCCCAGGACCTGTGACTAGCATCTAGAAGCCAGCCTCACCAGTTTCCTCGAGAATGTGCACTGGAGGTTGTTCTATGCCATTCTGGAACAAATTATTGAATGACTCCCTGCCCCCACTAGCATTTCCCTCTCTGTGTCTACCAGATGCCTCTTGACTTCTACTCTTACAGGCATTACTAAATAAATGCATTCTCTACCTTCTCTGACATGCAGGATGATGACCCATGGGATTCAGACTATATTTGAGGGGATGGTCTCTGGCTGATTTTTTGAATTTTTCTAGAGGAAGAGAGAACTAAGGCAAGTCCTGAGAATCTGTGCTTAGAAGAGCAGACCCAGGAGAGACCTCGGCCTTGTCTCTTCAGGGATATCCCTGCTCTGGGAAGCCTGGAGAGAGAGAGAGCCCTTCCACACATGCCTTGACCTACCACTACCCATTGAGCTGTGAAATGGGCTTTTTATTTTAGTTTTGCAAAAGCCCATTAATCAGAGATGGATTGTCATTCCTTGGGTCCTACAGTGACTTGGGAGCCATGCTGAGAACCAAATCCAGAGCTGAGTCCCCGCAGAGTCTTTCTCATTGGCAAGCCTTCTCTCCTCCCAGACAGAGGCCTGTGGTAGACATGCTGCTGGCTCCAGAACAGTGATTCTGAGGGGGTATCCCTGGTTCTGCTCCCACTGTCTTTTCTCGTGGAAAATGGACTCCTGCTGTCAGTAAGCATTCATGTTCATCTAACCACGAGTTGTGGTCTGGGTCACTGTATTCTTCAGAATGTTCACACACTATCCTTAAAGGTTTGCTACGATACCTCTAGCCCTTGTGTAATTCAGAAATCAAATGTGTTTCATGGGATGAGCGACAAACCCTCAAATTCATCTAAATAGACATAACAGACAACGATTTGTGGTGTTTTTAGTGCTGTCGTAGAAGTCTCAGGATGCTGCCACCCTCTCTTGGCTTCGGTGGAGCACTGAGAGTTCACTGTTCCTCTGAGGACCTTTCAACCTCTTTCATCGCAATATTGCCCCACACCTACAGGCTGGGTCCAGGTTAGAGCTTGGGTGGAGGGCCTGGAGTGCTGGGCTTAGAATAATGATGGCTCAGCTAGGCTGGTGTTGTGCATTCAGCAGAAAGTGAGCAGGGATTCAGCAGTCACCCAACTCTGTGTCCACATCCAGACTGTCCAGAAAGCTCTTACCACTCTCTTGTGCCCAGGTCTGTGGCTAGGTCAAGACCAGTAATTCTCTTGCAGTTGTTTGTTGGGATTTCCCCAATCTTCCTCTTCCGTCCATTTGAAAGAAACTACAGAGAGACAGGAAGGCAGAGCTGAAATGCACTATGTACAGAAACTCCTTTCTCAGAGTTTCCATGCATGTAATTGTCTGCACTGCCTAAAGTTCTGAGTACCTAGTGCTTTTTGACCCCACCCTAAGCCCCTCACTGTGCTCCAGAATGCTTT